TTGTAAGTGGAGAGATAAGTGCTTTCTTCACCATATCAAACGCCTGTTGATGTTCTTACAACCATTCAAACCTGTGATTCCCTTTCAGCAGTGTCCCAAAGGGAAAGGTTATCTCAATAAGGGCTGGAATGAACCTCCTGAGGTATAACACTTTGCCTAGGAATTTCTTCAAGGCCTTTTGAGAGTGTGGTGGTGGCATCTCCATGATTGACTTGATTTTATCCCCATCTACTTCGATCCCTCGCTGCTGTACAAGAAAGCCAAGGAACTTGTCGGCGGTAACTCCGAAGGCACACTTGAGAGGGTTCATCTTGAGGCAAAATTTGCAGCACCGTTGAAAAACTTTTTCCAAGTCGCAGAGGTGTCGGCTTGACTCAACAGACTTGACCACCAAATCATCCACGTATACTTCCACTTCATGATGCAACATGCCATGGAACACTACAGTCATAGCCCGTTGGTAGGTTGCCCTCGCGTTTTTCAAACCAAAGGGCATCACCGTATAGAAAAAATTTTCCAAAGGCGTTCTAAAAACCATCTTTTCTGCATCTTCTAGTGCCATTTTGATCTGGTTATAACTACTAAACCCATCAATGAAGGAGAACATCTGATGGCCCGTAATAGAATCGATAAGTGTATCAACATAGGGCAATAGAAACTCATCTTTCGGGCAGGCCTTATTCAGGTCGCGAAAGTCTACGTAGACCCTAATATGACCGTTCTTCTTCTGCACAGGAACAATATTTGTGTCACGACCCAAACCCGCCCCTATGGGTTTAGCATCGTAACCGGCCAGTAATCCTTGGATTACCGAAGGCCTCAAAACTGATTAACAAAATTAAGGGGTTAGCGGAAGCAAATAAATTAATATAGCTGTCCAATGAGCTGTGTAGACTTACATGAAACAAAATATTTAAAACTTTATACACATAGCCAAAAATCATTTTCTCATTATACCCACACACTTAGCAATAACATCTCAAGTATAGCCAACAAAACTAAAAACTCCCATGTACATAAATAGTAGAACTTTAGCACAGGACACTTCGGGAACCTCCATGTGAGGCGCAATGGTTGGCTGACAACAGGACACAGATCCAGACAAAGCCTTCAGGCTCGATCTCCAGAATGCCCACCTATATATATATACACACAGTGAGCTAAAACCCAGTGAATAACATCAATGTAAAGGGATTAGTGAACGAAATTCGAACATGTCATAAGCATAAAACAGATCATAGCATAAACATTCTTGTATCTGAACATAGTAATGGTACATCCCATAGAACACATCACATAACGTCTTCCAACTAAAGTAATCGGTTCCAGATACTGATTAAACACATATCACCACAATAAAGTGGCTAACGAGATCTCGTAATCACATGTATGTCATGGACCCGCATTTACATGCCGTCCCCCATGACTTGGGACTATCTATGGATGCCATAATAGATTTCAATCATAGGACATTCGTTCACGTAAACAATATCATTTTAGAAATCATAACTTGACATATCACATTTGGAACATAATTCATATCAACATATCTTTACAGAAATGTTACTCACAGTGGTTCTCGCAAACGGTCAATCAATCTCCAGACGTTGGCCTACAGACACAAAAGCACATAACACCAACATATTTTATCATTACACATTCATGTGGCCATCACGGCTTAGCTTTCCTTACGTTGATCCTTGTTCATTCTTAGCACATTGCTTAAAACACACACACTTGTAGTCTCGTAACTTAGTACATTCTTTACTTAGTGTGTTTCTAATCCATAACCTCATTATCATGGCTTAATTAAGGCTTAGGAATGCCTAAGATCCAATGAGGATGCCAAAACATGAATTGGAACACTTGGTAAATTTTCTGAAAATAAGGTCCCCGTCTGAGCGTAGCTTTCCTCGCTCGAGTGGACATGCAAAATGTGGATTCCTTTGCTCGAGCGATCTGCAAAGATATGAAACTTTTGGGAGCTTGCATTTCACGCTCGAGCGGACTTATGGTCACTCGAGCGAAAGTGCACGCACTCGGAGTGGTCGCTCAAGCGTGAACTCCCACACTCGAGCGTAGATGCAAATTTTGGAATTTCCAAATTGCACCTCCAAGCTCAAAATTAGAATTCCAAACTTCAAAACACATCTCTTGGGCCCCAAAACTTGAGATAACATAGTAAACTTGTAAAACATGATGAATTAAGGATTATTTCATAAAATCATGGCCCAAGAGTTTGCCAAAAGCTCACAATTTCAACTTAAACTTTAAGAATGTTCATGAACACAACATGCGTGGATTTTCTTGATCTTGAGCTTCTCAAAACATGATCAAATACCACAAAACAACTTGAAACTTGAATATTTCCCATAATTAAGATGAATTTCAAGCATGCATGAGAAAATTCTTGGAAATCATGCTCAATTTATAAAGGAATAGACATGCATGCAAAACTTTTCAATCTCTTTGCTCCAAAACTCATGAAACTAGCAATTTGAGCTCATAAGTCCCATGCATGTAAGAAATTCCTTCCCAAAACATGAATTTAAGTGATCAACAAGATATTTCAAACATGGATGATATGAATCATGTTCAAAATGATAAAATTAAACTAAACTAAGAATGCATGTATGAATTAACTCTAAATTCATCATCTTTGGTCCAATTCTTGTACATAATCACAAATTCTTCTTGAAATGATCTACTTAATGGTTAAAACTCATAATTAAGTCTTAAATCCTTACCTAGAGTCTTCAATAGCTAGATATTTACACAATCTTTGACCAATTCAAGCTATAGCCTTTAATTTCTCCTTAATCTCTACCTTTCTCTCTCTAGGATTACACTCTCTCTCTCTCTCTAAATTGAATCTCCAGAATTTCACTCAAGGAATAAGAGAAATGAGCTAAATGTGTTGAATATATAGTTATGATGATATAATGCATTAATTGGAACATTAGGCTAACCAAACACAACTTAATTAATCGTTCTGAATCAATTTTTAATATTTGCACAATCTTTGACCAATTCAAGCTATAGCCTTTAATTTCTCCTTAATCTCTACCTTTCTCTCTCTAGGATTACACTCTCTCTCTCTCTCAATTGAATCTCCAGAATTTTGCACTCAAGGAATAAGAGAAATGAGCTAAATGTGTTGAATATATAGTTATGATGATATAATGCATTAATTGAAACATTAGGCTAACTAAACACAACCTAATTAATCGTTCTGAATCAATTTTTAATAAAATTTGCCATGGTATTCTAAAAATTTCAAATAACATATTAATGTAACTAATTCCTATTTCGAATGCCGATAAGGCTTTCAGTTTTCATATTAAAGCGGAATTCCAGACAGATATTTCTATAAGTAACAGATAGAAAGCCAAAATCATGCAAAGCACATAATAAACACATAATTTATTTTAATTCTCTCATTAGCATCATTAATTACGGATTAGTAGCTAATTACGGATCGGGGTTGTTACAGTCTCCCCACCTTAAGAAGTTTGGTCCTCTAAACTCGAGTTATCTTATATCAAAAGAAACGATGTCCATCAGAATATAACTTCAACTCTTTATAAAACAGAAGCATAACTATATTCATAAATGTGTTCATGACCCAATCTTGACGTTGACTCCGTACCAGAAACAGAATCAGAAATCATATACAGAGATTAGAGTTCATATCAAACAGAGTCTTACGTACATTCAGACTTTAATCAGAAACAGATCCATTTTCAAGTCATATACAGAAGTCGGAGTTCATGCTTAATCTCACATAGTACATCCATTAGCGTTAACAGAACAGATACAGAATAGATGCAGAACATATGGTGGTTATGAATAATCAGTTCCATAAAGGAATCCTCCGGATTCGGGTAACAGAGAATAAACATGTTGAGCTCCGTGATGGAGCCTCCGGTACGGGTAACAAAGTGCAGACAGATTAAGTTCCATGATGGAACCTCCGATACCGGGTAACAGTCAACACATGTCACATGATGCTAAGGATGTCACGAATACATATCAGAAATTGGACAATCAATCATTGTACAGAACATAACACTTTAGCAAAACAATTCTTATTTCATCATACAGAAAATAGTTAAGGTTGAACATAGCTCTACTATGTTATTACTCACATTACTCATATCAAGTACTTATCGGAGGTCATAGATTCACACTATTTCCATTTTCATAAGTAATTTCCCCCGACAAGTTACAGAGATTTAATTTATTCATTTCCGAGTCATTCATCTGGTCCTTATTCGATTCGGTTTTCATCACAGTTAGTCCAGGTCACTCAGAAGTCATCAGTATACTAGACAAATTAATATATAAACCCCATAGCAGTAAACATAATGCTAAAGTAATCATTCTCATACTGATCATTAGTCTCAGTTTTCACAGATTTAATTATATCACATGCTACGACGAAGGTAGTCAATCATAGAACATGTTGATTTCATGTATTTCCAAATAGTCAGGGTCTACAATCAAACTGATCTGCTATCAACAAGTCCCACATCATTAATTTCGAAGTACCGTAATGCAAAAGTGATCATTCTCTTATTCAAACAAATTCATGTAATAATAGTAATACCGAAGCAATTAATCACGCAACATACATACAGTACTTCCACATTCCCAGAGCATAAATTACCAGATCTCATAATCCCACTCACGTGTGCTCCCAATCAGTTATAGGCATATGGTTAAAGGCTATTTATAATCACATAGTCTGCTATTGACGGTTCACATTCTTCCTAAGTGTCCAAGATTGATTCAAGTTCTCAGTCAATTAGTTCCCGTAATAACACAGTTTGATCATTCAGTCATAAGTAATTCACAATCCCCCGTAACGCAATCAAATCAGATAATAGTTCTCCATTTAGGTAAAGGAGATGCTAATGAGGGCCTTTGTTGCTTCCAGAGATACTAATGAAGGCCTTTGTTACTCCCAACCTGGCGGCTTGGCTCAGCCCCGTAACGTGTTAAAAAGGTGCGAAACTTAACAGAGTTTTGCAAGGCCTGAGCATGAGTATCCTCTGCGAATCTGTGGGCACTATTTTAGGGAGCTGGCTAGTTGCGATTTCTTCTAACTCATCATAGTAAGACACCATGTGCACTTGATTGCGCATGGGTCCAAGATAACCAATCATGTGTACGTTCTTCCCTTTCTCCTTGTGATTAAGATAAGGATCCTTCCTTACATCACAATTATCGGCATCTTTGAACTTCAACTCGTTTGCAGTAACTTTCTTCTTAAAGATACCTTTCAAAGTCCAACAATCCCTCATAGGGTGTCTGGTGGCTCTGTGATAGATGCAGTAATCTGGGCTTTCTTTGTCTTCCTTGGTTGGAGGGACATAAACCGGAGACAAAGTAAGCTCACCATTAGCTATCCATTCTTTAACCAAGGTTTTAACATTCTCCAAGCTGCAAGGATATGGATTTCTATCCATATAACTCTTTCTCTTTCGAGAAGACAACGCCTCCATTTGCGAGCGGCTCCCTCCTGTAGAGGTTACCGCAGCAATTTTGTTACTGTGGGGGTATCGATGGCTGCCACGAGATCTGTGTAAGGGACCAGTGGTATTAAGGTTCCTAGCTGCCTCAACCAAGGCTGAAAAGGTAAGAAGATTATAGTTCACCAAGAAAATTTTGTAGTCGCGTATGGTACCCTCCACACATATGCTAACTAAGTGGCCCTTATCCACTGGTTCATTACAGTCAATACCCTTATCTTGGAACCGCTTACATAGTCCAGTATATCTTCTCCTTCTTTTTGGATATCTCGCCCAAGTGTGAGCGTTATAACTTTCTCTTGGACTTGGAAGAACTTTGTGTGGAACTTGTTCACCATCTCCTCCCAACTCTTGATCGAGTTGGGAGCCAAGTTCACATACCAACTGTAAGCCCTTTCGGTGAGTGATTTGGAGAACTCCCGGAGGCGCAAAGAGTGGTCACTGCCATAGACACCAAGAGTTTCAATGAACCTCACCACATGTTCTCTGGTATTGCCTTGTTTTCTATTAAATTTAATAAACTTGGGCATTGTATACCCAATTGGGTAAGGCATGGTTAGTATCTCCTGAGAGTATGGGGACTTCACATCTGGGTTTGGGAGAGATAGCAGTTGTTTCTTGCTACGCTCTTGCTCGAGCATAGCTTGTATATCGACTAGAGTAACAAAGTGAGTGGGCTGGAATGGTCCAGTCTGCTCCTGGGTAGCTGAACCAGCGTCTGTACCGTTCGCTTGAGATACCACCGAGGGCACCTGGATCGGAGCCCGAACCTCAGGGAATGGATTAGGCACTGGGTTTGGGACTGCTACAGGTGGAGGTGCTTGCATTGGAGCTAGTCGAGAAGCCATGGCCATAATAGCCTCAATGAGAGTTTGCAAAGCTGCCAGAATCCCCTTCTATGTATCCTGGAGTGACTGAACTGCCTCAACCACAACACTGTGGTCATGGTCCTCTGCATGTGCTGCTCTGCCATTGGAAGAGCCTTGCTACCGTGGGGGTTGCTGAACTTCATCATCTGCCTTCTTTTTCAATGAAGTGTGTAAGCCACTACGGATATGAACCATCAACAAAGCAGCCTCCCCAGCAGAGTCGCCAGAAATGTAGGGGGTTCAAGGTTAGAGAGGTAATTAGAGAGGCAAAACTATACTAATGGTCTAATAATGGCGAGAATGGCTGAATAATGAGTAGCAGCAACAATCTAGGAGTTGGAGAGTGTGTAGTTGGGTGAGGGTGAAGCAAATGGCTCAAGAGGAAGACAATGGTAGTGCCAAAATGAGCAGCATCTCTCTCAAATCCCCAAAATTCTTCTTCTTGAACCTTGGGAAATGGGTCCTATTTATAGGTTTTTTCTTGGCACCAAGAGGACACCAAGTGGCCAAATAGAGAGAAGACATGTGTCCTAGGGGATCACATGGAATATTCTGCCTTGAGCCACCAGGCTGAAGGTGCCACGTGTCCCTCTACATGTACTGTGTATTATCTGTTTGCCTCCACAACTACTTATTTGAGCCTCGGCAAGTGTAGTTGAGACGGTACTACAACTCCCTTTTGAGCCTCAGCAAGTGCAGTTGCGATGGGAGTGTTTGCCTCTACACTTGCCTTCTTAGCTTGAACCTTAGCAAGTGCACTTGCAACAGTGAACCTCGCCGCTGCACTTGCCTTATCAGTTCTATTTTGCTAGTACATGCATTCTCAAGACTCCATTAGTTTGCTATCGACTATGTTCATGCCCACCTCAGCGAAGTCTCCACCCTTAGCCACCTAACCACAAACTCCCTAACTTCCCAGGGCAAAGGCCACAACCAAACCTGCTATTAGCCATGCTGCGTCTTAGTACCAAGCCCGAGGGGGCTTCCTTAATCCTGCCTGTGCGACTAAGGCAAGTCCATGACCTGGGTAATGGGAAAGGAGTCCCTTATGTTTAGGTTACCCTGCTCCCATCTTCGCGGGGTTACCACGGTAAACTGGTATTTTTGGGCCTGCTATCAGCTCTAACCAATAAGTCTTGGGGCCTGCTATCAACGCCAAGCATTAGCCTCTACTTGCAGAGGGAAGCCTCTCTCAAAGGCTACTATCACCTTGGTAGGATATTTCCTCTGTAACTTAGTTGCTACGATCATAGTTGCTGAGGTAACCATTTCCCGTGACGAGTCCAAACGGCAGAATCGAGAACATTAGAGATAGCGGCGCCGACGTAATACCTCTGCAACTTGGGCGCTGCAAGTACTGCCTCTACAACTTAGTTGCTTCGGTTTTCTCCTTTCCTTAGCAATTCCAGATGGCTGTGGTACCGACATTACTTGGAATAGCGGGGGCACCGACATTACTTGAAATGGCGATACTGAGGCGAAGTGCCTCCGCAACTTGGCCTTTGCAACTTGGTCGCTGCAAATGTTGCGTCTGCAACTTAGTTGCTTCGGCTTTCTCTTTGCCTCAGCAACTTCGGATAGCAGCGGAACCGAAGATATTAAGGATAGGGACACTGAGTCAAAGTGCCTCTGCAACTTAGTCGCTGCAAGTGTTGCCTCGGCAACTTGGTTGCTTCGATTTTCTCTTTTCCTCAGCAACTTCAGATAGTAGCGAAATCGAAGATACTTCAGGTATCATCTTAATATTAGGAATGGCGGCACTGAGGCAAAATGCCTCAGCAACTTTCCCGCTGCATATGTTCCCTCCGCAACTTGACCGCTACAGGTGTTGTCTCCGCAACTTGACTTAGGCATCGTGGAGTCTGCTTGGACCCTTGGCGGGTCGGATCTGCTTTGGCCTACTGTTGGCCCACTTCCCTTAGGCTTTAGCCCATACTCCTTTAATCATTCCTAGTCACCTAACAAAGGCGACCTCTGCACTTAGGTCTATACTTAATTTGGACTTTAATTTCTAACCCTTTACAATTAACAAATCATATCTTTATTTAAATTTTGTTATTTTAATTTTTTATAAATCAATTATTTAATCTTTATTTTTATCTGTAGGCCACAAAATTAATCTTTATAAATTATTTATCAATTTTTATATGTTTATTTATCTATAAGTCATGAAATTAATTTTTTTTAAATAATTTTTTTAATTTTTATCTTTATCTATAGATTAAATTTTCATAAATTATTTATGAATTTTCATATGTTTATCTATGATGAAATTAATTAAAGTACAAAATGAAAGGGGGGAAAATGAGTAATTTCGTTTTTTTTAAATCAATTATTTAATCTTTATCTTTATTTGTTGGCCATGAAATTAATTTTTATAAGTTATTTATCAACTTTTATATGTTTATTTATGGGAAGAAATTTTAAATTATCTATAGATTAACAAATCATATCTTTATCTAAATTTTATTATTTTAATTTTTTTAAATTAATTATTTAATCTTTATCTCTATCTGTAGACCACAAAATTACTCTTTATAAATTATTTATCAATTTCTATATGTTTATTTATCTATAAGTCATGAAATTAATTTTTTAAAATAATTTTTTTAATTTTTATCTTTGTCATGAAATAAATTTTCATAAATTATTTATGAATTTTTATATGTTTATCTATAATAAAATTAATTAAAGTACAAAATGAAGGGGGGAAAAGGAGCAATTTCTTTTTTTTTTTAAATCAATTATTTAATCTTTATCTTTATTTGTTGGCCATGAAATTAATTTTTATAAATTATTTATCAACTTTTATATGTTTATTTATGGGAAGAAATTTTAAATTATTTATAAGTTATGAAATTAATTGTTTAATTTTTATCTTTATCTGTAGACTATAAAATTAATTTTCAGTTTTTATATATTTATCTATATGAAGGAATTTTGAAATTCAAATTTTTATCCATAAGCAATGACATTAATTTTAATTTTAATTAATCAAACAAATAGAAAATGTACAAAAATAGAAAATATGAAAGGCAATAGAAGAAGGTTGCCACTAGGGGTGGGCGCGGGTCGGTTACGGCTACAGAACTTCCAATCTGCCAGATTGGCGGATTGGAGAAAATTAATCCGCATCCGTCCATCAATCTAACGAATGTGGATTGAGCGGATTGGCAGATTGACGGATGGATGTGAATCGGTTTGGCGATTTAAAATTTTATAAATTTTCAACATAATTCAACTTTTGCACTTTCTCAAAAAATAAAAATAAAAATTACAGTCAATGACTTAACAACTGCATGCCTCATCCAAAGAAAGAAAATTTTAAACTTTATTCACATATTACAATCACAGCATGCCTCATCCACATAAAGTATTATAATGTATGGTTCTTAAAATATAAAAACAATTCAAATTACCAAAACCATGAACAGAGCAATAATAGAGATTGTATGTCTCTGTATTGTTACATTTATATTTGTTTTTGAAAACATAAACCAACTACCATATATAATCTTTCATTTTTATTTTTTTTTAGAGTTAGATTTAAAAACTAAAATATATAGATAAATAATACATTTATTTTTTTCAATTCAAAAAATATATTTAAGTTGAAAACTATTTTTCAACATAATATATTCAACAAAATATTTAAATTCTTTTTTCAGTTGAAAACACAAATAGAATATATAAACAGATTGAAAACACAAAGTCGTACAAATTACTAGGGATGCACGGCGGTTTGGCGGTTCAGTTGCGGCTAAATGAACCTCAAATCCGCCATCCGTTCAAAACTAGGCGGATTGAAAAAAATCAATCCGCAACCGTCCCCTCGTCATCACACATCCATCCAAAATGCGGCGGATCGGTTTGACTCGGTCGGTTTTGGCAGATCGGTATATCCACTACTTACCCCTAGTTGCCACGTAAGAAAAAGAGAGTTTTAAAATTATGAGAATTTAAGAATAAATATTTGGAAGTTTTTGACAAAATAATTACATTTGGTTATAGTATAGTATAGATACAAAATATTTTTTTCTTTGAAAAATATTTTTAAATCACAAAATATTATTGATTGAGTACATAATCACATGGTGATTGCAAAACACAAAATAATTTATCGCATAAGATGGTTTTAAGGAGGAGGGGTCACTGATGTGTAGTGGGTGTAGCATTGACTATTGTATGCTTCGTAGGACTCGTTTTGTGTCTTATTTTAATGATTCGAACTATTTATTTGAAGAAAATATTGAGTGAAGTATATTTGTAAAAAATCAAATTGATCGAATATCATCAAATCATATTGTTTTCAATTTGGAAAAAGATTGAGGCCTCGAATGTGGCTCGAATCGGTCCTTTTTTTTCTTTTTCATGAAATTAATTAAAGTACAAAATGAAAGGGGGGAAGTTTTTTTATTATTTTTTTATTTGTTTGGTTGTGTTAGTTTGGTTGTTTTTATTTATTTATTTATTTATTGGGCAGTTGTAATTTTATTTATTTATTTATTTATTTTTAAAGGATGGTTATGTGTAGGGATGGGTTTAGAGTTTAGGATTTAAGATTTAAGTTTTTATTTCTTCTGAGTCTTTCTTATTTGAAATAAAAATATACTAAGAACTCGTACAAAATTATATAAAATTTACAAATTTTAACCAGCAGTCTAACTGATCAGTCAATTTTATCACCCAATCAATCTAACCCAATTGTTTTTTTTTTTTTTCTATTTGTTGGGCTATGTTGGTTTTTTTTTTTAATTTGTTAGACTGTGCTGATTTATTTATTTTTTTATTAGGGTTTAGGTTTTAAGATACACATAAAAACCTTTCCAAAAAAAAAAAAAAACCAAAAACAAAACCAAATCAACATAGAAAGAAAAAAAAAAAAACAAAAACAAAAACAAACAGACAAAACAACTTTTTGAGGCAAATTCGCGCCTCCAATTCGAGGCCTTGAGCACGGTTCTTTCAATTTTATACTT